CATCATCTTTCGTGATCACCTCGCTCTCCTTCCCATCCCGCTCCTCCTCCCCTTCTTTCTCGCTCCATCCAGGGCTGGCACCCTACCGTGCAGGACACGTACAATCTCATACCTTTTCCCCTTCATCATCGGCACCGGTTGTCACTTTCCACATTCAACAATGGTCTCTCACACGGCGGGCACAGCCAGAGCGTTGCTGGACGACAGCATCAATTCGTTCATGGACACTTTGGCCTCCGCTACTTCCTCCTTGACGGATGCGCCTTTCAGCACCTCTTCCTCTCACAAAGGCAAAAGCAGCAGCCGGTCTGACCACTTTTCAGCTTCCAATGACGACAACAAGGTCACGGTGAGTCTACATCTCTGTGGACGATTGATTCGCTGCCTTTGCGCTGATAGCGTCTTGTTCAATGCGCGCGCAGAAAACGCACACGGTGACTACGACTGGCTGGGAGGAAAAGGCGGCAACTTCGACGGATGACAAGCACCAGACGCACACTTTCACCACGCTCGTACCCGCGACGCGCACCACTGTTAGCACCGCGATGCATCTCAAGTCTACGCCAGCAGTGACCATCACAATGTCGTTGGGAGATGACTTGAAGACATTCACCATGACCCACTCTGCCGGTCTCACTCAACCCACCTCTTGGGCAGACAGGCTCGCAATGGCCGAGGCTTCGGAGGACGAGAAGCAAGCTTGGGCGGATGAGCACGATGGCGAACAGAAAGCGGAAGATGACGACAACCCGCTCTGGCTTGTGACCAATGACGACGAGACGGATGATCTCTCCAACGAGGAGATTGACAGCGCCAATAGCGAAATCAGAAAAGCGACTAGCGAAGCTTGGAATCCCACCTCGCTCGGCCTGCTGCCAATGACCACCGTCACCTTCACAAACACAGCGTCCACACCGCTCGCTACCTCTCTCCTGGGCGCATCACGCGCAACGACCATCGCTCCCAAGGCGACGGTGACGGCAGTGGTCAAGGATACGGAGCAATGCGACATTATGGACCTTGATTGCTTCCTGGACAGCGTGACTGCCGCTCCTCCCAAACCCACCAACACCGAGTCGAATGGACATGCGCAATATGACCGAGTAGGCTCAAACGGTCAGCAGGACAACAGTCCTAACCTGAGCGTCGGCGCCATTTGCGGGCTGGCAGGTGGCATCTTCTTGTTCTTCCTGATTGGCGCCATCATCATCGCATGGACGCGTCGTCGTGCACACGACCGCAAAGAGCTCATGCCGCGCAAGCACGGCCATGATGGGGAGCACGGCTCCTGGGTCGATCAGGGCGGCATCTACGGCGCCTCTCACCAGCAAAGACGTTCATACTTTCATCCTGCCCACGAGCCGCAAGCATCGTACACGTACGGAAATGTTGGCAATGGAATGGCGCCACCCGTAGCTCAAGCAGCTGCCGGTGCGAGATCACCACCTGCTGGCTACCGCGTTCTGTCTTCTCGCTTCAGCGACGCTACGGGTAGATCTGAGGAGCAGGAGCAACCGTACATGTCTCAGTCTGGCCATTTTCCCGCCGCAAGCATTCAGCAGGACCCCTTTGCTGACAGCAACATGTTTGGCGGATCGAGCCAAGGCACTGGATCGCACTCTTCTCATGCTCAGAGCCAGAGCATCCCTCCCTCGTACGGACACGGTCGCAACGTGAGCAATGCGAGCGCAATATCCACAAGCACAGCAGCCTATTCAAATCAAACCGTTCCTCCCCTCGAAGATTACGACGTGATGACGGCAAGTCGAGCGATGCCAGCCTCGGCACCTGCGCGCAACGTCAAGTGGGCGACTGCGAGCGGCGTTGCGCCTCCAGCGCAAGCTGGCACATACACTCGAGGAAGCTTGGATG